CGGCGCATAGCGGGCGAGGCGGTACGCCAGAGCACGCGAGAGCACCTTGACCTCGACGGCCATGAGCGCTATAGGGCGGTAGTAGCACCAATGGTTTAGTGGTAAAATATCTGGTTCCCATTCAGATGCCCCGGGTTCGATTCCCGGTTGGTGCACGTTTTGCATCGTGTCAGCGCCGCGGATTTTTTAGCTGTGGCGCGAAGAGCGGTGGCATAAACGCATACAACAGCCCAGTTCAAAATCTGTCACTTGTTATGTGCCTGCACAACCGATATTGTTGATTTCACTACCGGTAGACCGCTCCATTGATCATGAGTACAAAAGTGCATGCGAGTTGCACACCGAGCGTCCAATTTGCACGCCCGTAAGTTCTGCCCTAATTCTGCCCAACTGGTGCGATAGACGGCATGAGTTCGCAACGCGGCAGCGCCATGTACCGCACTCTTGCATACAAAGTCGTAATCATTTCAACCTTGCTATTGTTGCAGCGCCGTGCCTTAAGGAACAGAGACGCTTGTGTCCTCTAGGTTGCCAAGGATTGCATTTCAAGCTGTGCTACGATACTTGTGCTGCTTTTGCAATCAAACTATTTGCTACTAACGAAATCGCAGAAAACAGCCAAGCTCGAGCTTTGATTGAACATGTACTCACCAATCGCGTCTTGTTCATGCCATATCTTTCGACTCGGGCAAAAACCGATTTACATCATGGCAACAACGTCACTGTGGGCGAACCCCGTCGTACGCCTTCTACTTCTCGGCACCCTCGACGACGCCAGCCCTCTTTACCACCTACGCGGCCACACCGATATCTTGCGAACGATCGTCGAGCACCTTCGAGTGCTCTGGCGGTCCCAGCTGCTGCACGATGAGCGAGGCTACGTCAAGCTGGGCGACATTGGATTGCTACCTGGTGACATCGACCGAGACGAGGTGCTTCGCCACAATTCTTTGCTCGTGGACTTTCCACCGCCGCTCACGCACCTCGTTGACGGCGAGACGCAGCCAAAGCCATATCACGTCAACATGATGCCGTTCATCATTGGCCAAGCACGAACGACGCTGCCAACCGAGTGTCGGCGGTATATCCCACTGCTCAACCTCTGCCATGGCAGCCATAAGATCGGCTCCATCAGGTATTTGACGGTCCACGAAGGTATCGTCGAGGTGAATACGTCGCAGCGCCGCCCAGGCCTCCACGTCGAAGCTCCAAACGGAAGCAAGCTCATGAACAAGGCCGGGGCTGGGCAATCGCACTCGGAGGAGGCAAGAGATACGCTGGGGCGTGGCTGGGTTCACACCAACCACTTGATTGGCGGTATCTACATGGCGTCGACGATTGCGAATTCCTGCAGGGTACACAGTCTGCGTCTTGTCGATGCAAAGCCTGATTGAAATGCGTTGAACTAGGTCTGGAACACGGTCGTCGCAGATGAAAACGATATCGTCGGTGCCCACGGCGACGTGGATGTCCTCCACGGTGTCTTGGACCGTGAGCGTGATGACTACTACGAGCCGCAAGCCAATGAGCTGTACTGGATCACAGATCGGACGCCGCACGAGTCCCTTCCGGTGACTGAAACACAGTTTCAGCAGTACTTCCGCTTCGTTACGAGCAACATCTCGCACTGGTTTGCAGAGCACTCGACGCCCAACCCACTCGGCATTCAGCCGACGGCCGCGATCGTCTACGGCAACAAGTTTACGGGTACCTTGATGACCGAGGTGTCGTTGGCCGACCAACACAGCGATTGTGCTCGATGATGTAGATGCAGATCGAAAAGAAACAGTTACCCGTGAAATGATTGTTAAAAACAACTAAATTTCATGCGCACTTCAACTTCCTGCAAAATGACACAATTCGGCGAGGCCAATAGCTCCGCACAACTGCCTGCCCACAACCACGCGCGACAAGGAGCCAACGTGGCGGCGACCGGCGTCATCACCCGAAGAAAGAAGCGCATCCTGTAGGCACTGATGGCGTCGACGGCGGTCCATTGTTCATGGATGTTCTGCTCTCGCGGCCAACGAAGCAGGTAACTATGCAAGGTGCGCCTTGAGAAAGATAGCCAGCATGGGTTGTTTCGAGCAGTCGGTGAAGCTACATGGGCGGTGCCGAGTTCACGTCCTAACAAGTGCACTTTCTGGCTCGCACCCCCTCGATACATGCACGACCCATCGAATCGCTTTTCGTAGCAATAAAGGTACTTCCTTATTCTATCCACAAATGGAGTACAACCCTACGACGAGGAACCTGACGCTCGTGGTTTTGAGTCGACCTACGTGGCGGCGTCAGAGCGATGCCGAGAAGCCACCAATCCCACGCCGGGAATACGGAATGTAGGTCGTTCCAAAATAGGCGCTGGCTTTTCCGATCTCCGGCGCCGCAACCGCATCAAGCAGAAGCGGCTGCGCGAGCGCGTAGCCGCCGAGCGCCGGAGCCTCCGCGCGCAGGTCGCGACGCTCTGCAAGGCGCTCGCAGCGTCGGCGCACAAGCCCAACGAGACGCTCTTAAGCTGGAAGACCATCGCCGCCGGCCTCGCGCGGTCGACCGTCGAGTCGCGCCTCTCGTCTGTCATGCTGCGCCAAGAGCTCGAGCGTACATTGACGCTGAGCGGCCGCATCCAAGCCTGGGTGGCGTCTATGCACCCGAGCCGGACCCTGCTTCCGGTACTACGCTCCTCGATCCATTGTATCTCACCAATCGGGTTTCTACCAGGCGGCGCCGTTTAGCTGGATCAACGTTACGCTTGTGGACGATATTGCGTCGCGCAAGGTTGGTCTCGACTGGTACACGCAGCACTTGTATTTCAACACGGAGCGCATGGTGGCCCTCTGCAATTTTCCGTCGCATGGCGCGATCATGGACAACCTCATCCTGGAGCTGGGCCAAGACCTTGTCGACCTCATTGGTCGCATTCAAATCGACTATGAGCAGCCGCTCGAGGCGACGTATGCGCTTTTGCGGGATACAATCTGGGCCGAGCTGCGGGGCGATACGCACTCGTTTGTGTCCGAGTTTCTTGACCAAGAGGTACAATATTGTCTACTAGCATTGCTGCATTTTAGTAGACAACTAAGAATCAAGTGGAATAGCTCACGCAAGCGATCGACCCGACGATGCTGTACCGCCGGACGGTACTCGAAGTCGACGAGAGCAACTACTACGTCTGCCGTGAGTTTACCAGCGACGACCGGATCGTGTTTTTGTTTGGGAATTTCAGCCAAGACGCGCGGCAGCCCGAGAACCACCGCTGGCGTCCGCGACTCTTCTGGTGTGTCCACACGTAAATACCTCGTATTTCGGATTTTCAAGATTTTGGGTAGGTATATCTTGGAGCGCCATGGCCCCAACCGAACGCGACTCAAGGTCATCATGTACAACGGCCCGAAAATGGTTTACGGTCGGCTCAATACGTGGCGAAACGTCCTGGAAAGCGTCAACGAGTACAACCCAGAAAAGACCGACGCGCAGCTCTTTGCGCGGTACCGCGAGCTCGTCGACGAGCAGTTTTACCACCTCTTGCGTGTCGACTATGCATCGCTGACGCTGCAGGCCGGTGAGATCGACCGCTCGGCCGTCGAGAACGTCCACCGCATT